AATAAGCCCATCATGACATGTCAGATTTTCATATATGCTTTCATGTGTCATTAGACCCATTGTTTCCCTGAACCTTCATTTGATCTATCAGGGAAATGCATCTTGAAGTATGTCTTGTCCTCAGCCTTTTAAGTGCTGGCTGAAGCTCTAATATACCTGCTTTATGTGGAGGAGAGATGTCTATCTGCTTTGTCAGTATTTCCTCTGCTGTCACAGTGTACCAGTAGACAGCTTTGGGCAACAATACTTATTCTGTTTCCAGCCCTCTCTGCATTTTGTCTTCCCAAGGCAGGTATTTCCTCAGGGAAGGGCCATGCCACAGCTGACAGACATCATTTTTCTGTCCTCTGGGCATTCTCTCATGCTTTGCTGCCCCTCCCCTAATTCAGATCTGTAGATGGGAAAAAGGGATGATTTCAAATCTCTGGCTAACAAAGAGTCTAGTCAGAAGGGCTGTTTCATCCAGAACTGAAGAGGAATTTGCATTTAAAGCATAGATAATACTATGTGAATGATGGCAAACTTATGGTCTTGCCTATACCAGTCTTATTTCCCCATAAAATTTTCCAGCATTGCTATCACTAGTAGACAGGTCCATGACGTTGACCCAGCACAAATAGCTCCTAGCATTCCAGCCACTATTTAGATGTTAATTAAGACCTTCTCTGAAGGAGTGAGCAAACCGGATTCTCTAGGCAGGTATGGAAAACAAGGAAATAGTTGCATACAGAAACTTATATTTAGCTAAAAAGTTAAAAATCTATATGAAAATTCAGTGTCCTATTTTCTGAACTAGAAGAATAGAATAAAATCTCCGTATGTTCTGTTCATTGTATTATTATGGATTTTTCTCTGGTTTTTTTACTGAAATTTTTTGGTTTGCCATAGTTATTCACATGAAACCAAACCCTATTTGCACTTCAGTGATTTGAATGAATAAAATAATGTATACAGAGAGTATGGGCAGAAATATTCGGGCTCTTAGTGGATTTGAATTCTTCATGATGTAGTTGGTACAATTCATCCTAAACCTTATTTTTCAACATGTAAAGAGTATAGACTAATCCTGGTCTCTTAAAGAAAAGTCTTTTAATTTTAGATGATTTTCAGCCTCCTTAATTTTTGCTTTTCTTAAGCATTAAGCAGGGAAGAGGAACTGCCATATTAGTTTACTACATTGCCAGCAAAGAGGAAGCAACACTTAAATCTCATCAATGGATCCCACCAACCCCTACCCCTTCAGGTCAAGCAGTCTGCCCACCACCATCACTGCTGTCTTGTCTAAATTCACCTTCAGTTGGTTCACCTACTCCAATCCTCAACTCTGTCCAGGCACTGGGAAAGAACTGAGATTGTGGGGTTAGATCAGAGAAAGAGAGCTAGAACTGGGTGTCATCAGCAGATTGATAACACCTCACTCCAAATCTCTGCATGAGCTCATGCAGTGGCCTCATATACACATTGAGCAGGAAAGGGAACAATATGTAGCCTAGGGGGACCTGGGCACCCCACAGGAAAGATCCCGAGAGGATGATGAAAACTCACCCGTCACCACCCTCCGAGACTTCCTGCCTAGGACAGAGTGGAACCAATTTTAGATTGGTCCCTGAATGCCCACCGGGTCCTGTAAATGCTTTATCAGCAACTCATAGTCACCTGTAACAAAGGCCGCTGAAGATCTAGTAAGATCAACAGGGCACGGTTTCTCCTATCAATTTCTAAACCAGGACTGTTGACACAGGCCACAAGTGCAGTCTCCATGAAAGTCAGACTGACAAAAGTCCAGGAATCCAATAACATCCAGAGGTGCTTGGAGCTGTCAGGTGACCACTTATTCAGTGACCTTCCCCAGAAAGGGGAGGTTGGAAATAGGGTGATAGCTGGCTAGGGAGTCAACATCAAGAAACAGCTGCTTGACTAGAGAATAGACAATCACAGACTTAAGAACATATAGCTCCAGTCCTTCTAGAGGGAGGCGCTGACAAACCCTACCAACAATGCTTCCAGTCTGTCTGTTTTTAGGGTGGGGTAGGGATCCAGTATATATCTGGCTGTCCATACTCCCCCTGCACACACCTCTGACACCAGTACAACAGCAAATGAAATGGATTCATAAAAGCTGGACAAAAACAAGATTCGCCAACCCTAAACTGACTGTGCAACAAAAATGGTCGTCTCCAAGTTGTGCCAGATACAGGCTATTTTGTGTACAAAGTGAATAGCAAACTCATCACAGTGGACTGTATGAGAGTAGAGTATTGGTTCTGAGGTCTGGCTAAGGAAGACTGGGAAGCAGAGCCGTCCCTAGGGGTGTGCAGGGCCCGGGGCATATCAGCCCCTGCGGGGCTTGGGGGGAGGGGGGTGGCGACTGTCATGGCAGCATCGGCAGTGGTGGGGGGTGGTGACCACCCACAGAAGCTGGCAGTGATGGGGCCTGTATGGCACTGTCCGTGGGGCCCCCCTCCCGAAAGCACAGGGCCCGATTTGCCTCCCCCCTCCCCCACCTCCCCCAGAGCAGCCCCGCTGGGAAGAGTGCTTTGGTGGAGTACCAGGGACACTCTTACACTAGAAATCATGTAGAATTAAGCCAGAGGAGAACTCCAGATAGCTTTTGCTAACAGCATGTTTGGTGAGCTGGGAGATGAGAGGGAAAAGGGTAATGGAATGATAGTTGAAGAGGCTAATCATGTCAGCTTTCTAGTGCAGAAATAAGACCTAAGTAAAACCCAGTGTGTTAATGGGTAACTAACCATTGTATGATATACACATTCTGCATAATTATTTTCCTGGCTGTGATTTCTTTAAATGAAACAAACGTGCTAAGTTTACATGCTGCCACATAGCTACTGACACCTTAAAAGAAATTTTGGTGCTTTCTCTCTGCTTTTCTTTGATGCTCCATCCTTTTTTATGTCTCCCATGTCTCAGTTATCTCATCCTCACACACACTTCACTCTGGGAATCCCTCTCTGGAGTCTTGTTTTCTCTGGGCTGGAGGCCTTTTTAGGCTTAGGCAGGCATGGGGGACTAAGTTCCTCATTCTTACCCATAAAACAGTGACAGCAAGCATCTGTTCCATTACAGCTCAGTGTCTGTCACAGTAATATCCCTATCCAAACAATTGCTGCTGCATTCAGCAGTGAAAAGGAAGAACATTACCTTAATCATTCTGCTAAAATGATGGTAGCAGAGCAGTTAAGGGATATTACTATGGTGCTGGGGCCTTGCATTCAAGCCTTGCTTAGTACTCATACTGAATTTCACACTCAATTTCTCTAGTTATAAATGGGCACCTGGACAGCCATAGGCAACCAAAGACTTACTATTAGTCACATCACTGTAGTATGTACCATTAGCTAGAGAATAGGTATGCCTTAGCCATATTATCCTGATGGACCATTAGGCTTTGATGGACCTATGACTTGACTTTTTTTTGACCTACAAGAAATAGCATTTATCTCTGTCATGAATCTAACTGATTTGAATAAGAAAACTTTCAGTATAATGTGCTATATACCAGGAACAAGAGTGGTTGTGCTCCACCATTCCTTTTCTAAAATGAGAGGTTCTGGAGAACAACTGTACAGCAAATTCCAAAAGAAAAATTACCTCTGTATAATTGTATTATATATTACATACCTAGATGCCCATATGTATCAGCATCTAGCAATGATGGTGCTTCCAATAGTTATAACTACTGTTTTCCTTTGGTAGTTTTCTTTCCTTTATTCCTTCATTTCTTTTTGTGTCACTAAGTGGAGACTCTCTCTGCATGCCTGTTAAGTTTTCTTTGATGTTGCTATCACTCAATTTTTTAAGAAGGTGCCTTGCTTTGACATGTCCTTGGGCTTCATGGGCCAAGGTCACTACTAGTGTAACTGAACACGACTCTGTTTACTCCATTTGCCAGGAATGAATTTGGTTAATGAAAAGAATTAACCTTCAAATTATTGCCCTCGCCAATACTAAATCTTATTAGAAATACATTCTTCAAAAATGATTTATATTAGAAGACAAAGGTTTTCTACTATACCAAGTTGCTTGTTTCTAGGCAATCTGAAATTGTTGGTTCAATCACAGTTAAAACATGACTTAGATTACTATCTTTATACACATCAAGTGAATTTATTCAAGAATTTATTAATGCTTATTTTTTGCAGCATTTGTACTGGAAAGGATTTCAACTTGTTATCTTTAGACTAAGCCAAATATTTCAGTAGAATGCAACTGGATTTTTTATGCCTTTGTAACAATTTTTTGTTTAAAATAGTAAGTGTAATGTCTTTAATGTCCTTACCATCTTCGTTTACCATTTATACTCCATCCTCAAGTTCCTAGAATTTGCAATAAAGTAGATAAAATGTTTTGAACACAATTTATATTTATCTGCTCCTGGCTGCCTGTCAAAGATGACTTCAGTCAGGGGCAGTGGGACCCAGGGAAAGCAAGCAGGACTCAGCAGCAAGGCCACCCGGCCCTGCTCCCCCAGCTCCCCATTTACTGCACAACTAATTAGTCAAGTGCAGTAAATATCTTGTATAGATGTGCCCAGGGAGTTGAAACCTAACTCATGTGAGCTTTCCTCAGTTACAAAGTCATATGAACAAGGAACAGACTTGCACTATGTCACTGGATGCATCTAGATGAGATGTTTACTGCACAGTAGCTCATTACTACTGTGCAGTAATGTTGCTGGGCATGAACCGTGATGCAACAGTACTGCACAGCAGTAACAAGCTACTGAGCACTGAGTGTTACCAGTCAACCGTTCCAGAATGCTACTGCTCAGTAATGCCGGTTACTGTGTAGTCATTTAGTACAGCAAGTACTAATGTAGTCTCATGTAGATACACTCACTGACACTAAAAAGTGTTCTCTCTTTAAGATTCTGCTACTAACATGAAAATATGATCAAAGAAAACAGAAAATTATTATTCTATCAGCAACTTTCAAATCACATTTGAAAATACCCTGCAGCGTGGAAGCAAAATGGGACAGACCTGGATTATGGACTCAAGGCTGTGCAGCAGGTTCCTCAACTCTGAGAGCACAAAAACTGTAGTGTATCTCCTTCCTTCCCTGCGGCTGGAAATGAAACTGTTTGGAGGCTGAAGCCAGCAGAGCAGCTGCAGAAAGAAATCTGTGCAAGCATTAACTGAAGGACACTGTTGATGACTGTTACTTAAAGTGTTTGCTCCCCTCCTGCTCCATCCCTTTACCTGTGTTTTAAATTCTTCCCCAATCCTTGCTTTCTCTTTTGCTGTCTCTTTCTCGCACATCTGTTTAGACTCTTTTCTCATCAGAGTTAGGGACTCTCTCCCATTATGTATTTGTATGGTGCACAGTAAGTGCTTTTTCTTGGTGGGAGTACCATAATACATTATTACAACTACAACTGTTATTATTATTTACTGCTTTAGATAAAGTATGACAGAAATAATAGTAATTTACCATCTGAGTGGATTTTCTCTTCCAGAAAACTAACAGCCAGGAGTCCACAATATAGTTTCATGTTGGATGTACAACTGTAGCATCCTGCTGATAATCAGATTAATGTTTTTTATAATATTAGTTTTGAAATGTTTTTCTGGCTCTAATTTTTCTTTCTTCCTGAATTGTCCATTCTTGACTAAGAAAAAATCAGGACTGCAAAGGACAACATTTTTCAGCAATAAAGAATTTTTTCTTCCCTGCGCTTACTGACTAGTGTTTCATGGTTCTTTATTACTATGGAATAGCAGGAGCATGTCTGGCACTGGGCAAGAGCAAAATAAATTTGACATGGTCAAACTGCATCTAAAAATAAATGATGAAATGCTGCATGTGCCAAATTTCAGAAAGGTACTAATGTGCTCAGTTTGTACATGCATTTAACATTAGCCACACAAATTCAGATTTGTGCATGCATGCAATAAAACTGCAGGTGCAAACTGAAAAGCCACTTTTGGAAAAATTGGCCCTAATAACTTCAAAATTGATTAATTTATACTAAGTTACCTGACTCAAAAAAGAGTTATCTTAGAGATTCAGCAGTTAAAAAAAATACCTGACAAGAGGACTGACAGCATGGGGAAAACCCATGACATATGGTGCTTGCCTTCTTAGCTACCTTTCCCATGATTTCCCATTCTTTCAAGTGAAGAGCAGTAGTGAGACTAGTTTTATGGAGCAAAAAAGACAAAGGTTTTCTAATATAATTAGTCTGTGTGTTTTAAAAGCATTACTGATGATTTTTGACGGAGCCTGAAGATAAAGGAAAGGGAAAGGAAAGGACTTGTGAATTAGCTGATAATTTTGCCTCAGAAAATGAAAGAAAGGAAATTAGGTAACAAAAGCTGTGACTTGGATAAAGAATAGAAGCCTTGGGGCAAATTCTGCAGTCAGTTATACCAGTGTAAATCCAGAGAGTCTCTATTGGCTTCAGGGAAGTGGATCTGGATTTGCATAAGTGTTAAGTGAGATCAGAATTTGGCTTTGTGTTCATATTCTAACTGGAAAATTAATTTTCATCTTAGAGCACATGAATACACTGTGTTTGTCCAGATTAACATGCAGAATAACCAATGTGGTAGGCCATATATTTGTGTTTTAGTTAGGACTGATTGCTGGAAGTGCGACTGCAAGGAATGTGCAAAGGCCAGAGGCTACTCAGAAAGACCATGTGATCAGAGGTGGGTCAGGCACAGGTTGTAGGGAGGACAGTCACTCAGCTGTTGTACTTCAAAAGAGACCTCATTATTATTTTCTACCAAAGAAGTTGTAGGTTGTATAAAGGAGAGGTAATAAATAGTTAAAATGATGCTTCCCCTCTTCCCCCACTAATGATTCTTTTCATAAAACAAAGCAGGTCATCCTTGACAGAAGCTTGAAATATAAACTCATTCAGCTTGTATCTTGTCTGTCACTAGGATTTAAATATTTCAGCTCCTGACAGTCCAACCCATCCCTCATGATTACAGCTTGATGATCCTACTAGTTTCCTAACAGTGACAGGTTTTATTCATGATTTTGCAGGTTCTCCATTTCCCATCTTTGGCCCTTTCATCACTCTGGTTAATAGCTGACTGCATAACTGCCATGAAAAGTACTGTAAGAACAGTCCTATTGTGCCTAATCAATGGACCCCTTGGATCTCTCCTGCCCTGTGTTATTAAGAAGAAGTGAAGCCTTTCTAGCCCTCATACAGACAATGGGAACATTATCTCTTCTTTTTCATTACTTAAAAAAATAAGCAGCAGCAATGACCAAGCTGAACAGAACCTAACAGCTTACAAAGAAAACTAGTTAGGAACAATCTTTTCATTCTGTAGGGGAAAAAAAATTCAAATGGAGATCTTTCTGCACTGAAAAGTTTGGCATGCATAAGGTTAGAGCATTATTCTGGCATAGGATTAGATAAAATTAAACGGAACACAAGAAAAGTTAGAGAAGACAGAGATTAATCATACCTCTCCCTATAGGGATGGCACACTGAATCAGCAAATTCAAGAAGACCCTTTCCATCTGTTCAGAGGGGTACTTATTTAACAGCCTCATCTGGTTCCCATTGAAGTCATTGAGACTTTTGCCTTGAACTTTGGTGGGGGTAGGAACAGGCTCTTGTAATGCTGTATTATAGACAATCTACTTGTTATGTAAAGGTTATGTCGATTTTAACAGGAAATGAAAACTTTTCTTCTAATTATGTAGATAGTCCCTTCTATGAATTTCTATAGGAGGACTCAAAAATCCAACAGAAAACATATAATTCTATAGGCCTTTGTAGTCAGGTTTGTCAAACTTTATTAATTTTCTGGATAACACTACCAATTTCTTCTTCCTCTCTTCCTCCTTTTGCATGCATTTTAATAACCCCTTATAAAAATATAAATACCTGACTCACTCACAAGGCTGACCAATAGTGAAGGTGTCAGGAATCAGGTTGAAGGAGACATTTATCAAAACAATTGATTTCCCACAGGTAGTGTGGAGGAAGGAGGTACAGGTGACCGCAACAAACGTGAAGTACCATGAAACTAGCTGTCCCTGCAATTTCACATCCCAAATGAAGAGCCAAGAACTGTGTCATATTAAAGATGCAGGGGCTAACACTGGGGATGACAAAAGCAGGTTTTGGGGGGAAGAGGGTGTTTGTTTTTTTGTTTTTGCAACTTTAAAGTGATTCATTTGGAGTTTGCTTTTCTTTTTGGCCTTGGAATTTCATGCGTCTCTACTACCCATAATCAGAAAAATATCTCAGGAACATGAAGGACTATGACAAAGGCCTTTGTTTAAGCTGTCCAGTGATCAATGCTGGTTACAGAATTTTTTTTTTTTTTTTGATTTCTGGCCAAGCAAATTCAGCATTTGTCTGTGACAATCAGGAGGCATATAAATCAGGTAAAAATGTAAGCTTTCCCCTTAACTTAGAGCCTTTTCAGCATAACAATAGTAGCATCGGTGTAGCTGAATAAGCAAAACTTAAATGATAGTTTTTGCATAAGTATGCATATTGATGTAATGTTGCTTTAAATATATCTCAGCGGTGCAAGAAGGGGTCGTAACAAAATATTCCTGGTTTCTCTCTTGGAAACTCAGAAGTAATTGATGTTTTACTGGACTAGTATCTGGTATTCTGGTATTAACCAGTTATTTGGGCCAAGATTTTTATTGTCTGATAAAGTGCTCCAGATCATACTTGGCATTCCAATTTATCTCAACTCCACAGGAATACCTCTACAAAAATGTCTCTTAAATCTCTGGGAGAAGAAGCAGGGAGATATTTCCAAGCCTAATCAGTCCACAAGATATCCCATGCAGCCTTTGAGTCTTAATGCTAATCTTCAAGGAGAACTGATGCAAAAAGTGCTAATATTTGTAAGGTTAACAACAGTCCCTCTTTATTCAGACCAGTTAATCTTAATTTATTTTATGTAAAAGTAAATGCAGATTCTAAAGGGAAACTCATTTGTCCAGTAATATATTTTTTCTTGAATCATTTTAGAAGTTTTAATTTCTTAGGGAAAACTGATTTACATGCTCCTTCTCTATGCCCTAGTCCTGCAGTCTTATGTGGAAACTCCCAGTGGAATCAGTGTAATTCAGTTTAAGATAGAACTACAGGATCATAAACCATATTGCTTATGCAGCTATCATAAGTGTCACGTTCATACTGCATCTTCCCAACTTTGCTTCAAGCCCACTTATTTCTCCCCCTTGGCCTAACCAGTCATTATTCTCATACCCCAGTGGACAGGTTGAACAACACAGAGTTGCCTCAAGTGAGGAAAGGTGCTGTGATGTGGAAACAGTGAATCTATCAACTGTGTAGGAGGGACATGATGAGTTCTTGGTACATGACTGCAAAGGGGAATAACTGGGATGTAGATTGTAGCTGTGTTGGTCTAAGGACACAGGCAGACAAGGTTCTTTGGGTGAATCTGATATCTTTTATTAGACCAACTAAATAGTTGGAAAAATTTTTCTTAGCAAGCTATTGGGTTTAAAAACCCTTCATCAGGCTGAGGAAGCATCTGCAGTTGGTGTGTGCTCTTCCTGGATGGAATGAATAGTAAAGAAGCCAGAGGCTGATATGCATGCAAGAAAACCAGTCAGTGAAAATGTAAATTGAGGAGTCAGTGGATGAGAGACAGGCTGGAGGAGAGGGAGGGGTGAGAGTAGCAGGTAAATAATGGGGAGGTACCTGGGGAGTCAGCTGTCAGGCAGGTTATAATGTGTCATAAATCCAATGTCTATATTTAGTCCATGATTTTTTGTATCCAGCAGGTTGATGAAGTGCAGTTCATAGGCCTGTACTGTGAAAAGTGTTTTGTAAATTCCCTTTGAGGATTAGAACTGAAAGCTTGGAGAGAGAGTGGTTTTCTGGTGAAAAATGTGCCCTCACATGTAATTGGGCATTCTTGTCTTTAGTAGATTTCCGGTGTGCATTCATTCTGGTGCGCAGTTGTTGTTTGGTCTCTTCTATGTATTGTCCATCAGGGCATTTGGTGCATTGGATAAAATACATTACATTTCTGGAGGTTCAGCTGTAAGATGCAGGAATGCTGATGGCTCTGTTGTGGAGTGGGGGTGGTGGAGATATGTTGGCAGGTTTTGCATTTCTTGTCATGGCATGGTCTGGATCCATTCAATGTGTTTTGGACCATAGGAAGTTTGCTTCTGGTGATGAGGTTAGCGAGGTTTGGTGCTTGTTTGAAGGCTAGGATGGGTGGTTCTGGGAAGATCTCTTTCAGAATTGGGTCTCCTAGTATGGGTTGCAATTGTTTGAGGATTTTCTGTATAGGTTTGAGGGAGGGGTGATATGTCATAACCAGCGGTGTGCAATTCGTGCGGCTTTTCCTTCTGTAGTGCAGCAATTCTTCATGTGGTATCTGGGTGGCTCTTTCAAACATGTGATCCGTCTCCCTGGAGGAGTGTTCTTGTTGAGTAAAAACCTTTTTAACATTTGTAGGGTGGCAATCCCAGGTGTTCTCCTCAGTGCAAATTCAGTGATATCTGAGGGCTTGGCTGTATATCACAGCTTTCTTGGTGTGTTTAGGGTGATTGCTGGTTCTGTGCAGATATATATGTTGGTCTGTGGGTTTCTTATATAACAAGGTCTGTATTTTACCATTCTGGATACTGATCATCATGTCTAAAAACGAGCTGTTGGTGCTGGAGTATTCAAGAGATCGTCAGGTGGAGGGGTGATAATTGTTGAATTTCTGATGGAACTCAATCAGAGATTGCAG